CCCGTTCCTGCAAGCCATCCTTGCCCAGCAGGAAATTACTGCCCGGAGGTTCGAGACCACGCCTTGAGCATTTGTAAAGTTGTTACCTCTTCCTTCATAAGCGCGTTGTGCTTATCGAGCTCCCTCATGTTTTCCCCCACCCCTGTTGATTGGCTTTACTGCTTATGCTGCTCGCCGTTATTCCGTTAGCATTGGATGCACTTACTCCATTGAAGATGCTCACGAAGCATAACCGGTTCCTAAGCACTTGCTGCCCTGTATATGACTGACTGTTTGGGGCTTTGCGCTTCGCCTATGCAGGGGACAAAAAGCCCCATCAAGTGTAAGGCAGGGACCGTCAATCCAAAGACTGGCCAGGTCAGCGTGAATCCGTAGGCAGTCTAATTCCTCGTATGGGCCACCTGACTGAACTAAACGTACGTACTATCATAGCTGCCTGGCATACGTTCAATTTTGCATTTTCAATTGGAAGTCAAGTATTGAACGATATCTGTCTCGCTATCAGGGAGATCCATCTGCCTGCGTACCAGTCTCTGCCGGGCAGTATGCATCGAAAGACGGGCTCTCACAGGCTGAAGGACCTTGTGCAGAGGGGTATTACTGTCCGGAAGGCTCAACGTCATCTCAAATGCACCGTTGCCCTGCTGGAACATACGGGCAAGTTTAGTGCAAGTAGCGCGGCACACACTTTGCTTTATCTTCAAAGCCGGCTAACTTCAACGTATTACAACGGGCAAGAAGGCCTGCCTCATCATATACGAATCGTGAAGGCAAATTGGTTCATCCTTTGTCTAACAGTCCGTTAAGGATGTTTATCGGTTAAATCCGAAGTTGGTCAATCAGTTGGATGTTTCGCAGATATCAAGAGGGGGCTAGGAGTGAAGAGGAGTGCGACAAATGCCCTCAGGGTATGCCTTCCGTAACATTTGGAGCTCAGCCCTCAAACATGCTTGAAACGGTGCTGTGTAATTTGTACGAGTAGCACTACACTATGCAACCTAACTTCTGCTACAGGCTACTATTGCGAAGAAAGCGCTACCCCAAAGAAATGCCCGGAAGGCCACTACTGCGAGTTGGGTACAGTTGAACCGAAAAAATGCCCAGCGGGAACATTCAGTAAAACAACGGGGAACGCTTCTGTGTATGACTGCACGGACTGCCCTCCTGGGAAATACTGTGATTCTGAAGGTACTTCTCTCCGTTTCCCAGTGTAGCTCAACGCTGCAGTGCCGCACGAGAGGGGATTAACGTAAACGCAGAATTGTTTGACAATATAAATGATTAGGGTATCAAACGGTCCATTCACCTTCAAAAGGAACTAGATGTGGGTGTTATTCTGCAGGCCTTCCACAGCCATCAGGTCCTTGTAGGGCAGGGTAAGATATTCAAGCAATGGTAGCATACTCATGCCTCCATGAAGTGCTTATTCCTGCTGAAAATCGCATGGCATTGGGCTATTACTTAAAACGGGTGGATATATAGCATTCAATTCCTTGCTTTCCAAGCTTAGTCTCTCTAATATTGTTCCTTCGTCCAATGTCAGCACGTTTTCTACAATGAATGCGCCGCCGTATTCCGAAACAGCTGAAGCCAGTCTACCATTTCTGACACTCTTGAGTTTACATTGTCAAATTTAGGTACTTGTGCTACAAGCGAGCTACGACGGATCAGCCAACAGACGGAGTTACGGGGGAGCTATGCACTCCTGGAGGATACTGCAAACAAGTCAGTTCTCTTTTGCCTCCATTCAGGCCCTTTCCAGCTGTCACATACAAAATTTCGATTCGCCCTGTAGCGTGTTGGCCGTTTCTCCCTGCTTGCGTGAGCAGGGGGCCACCACAAAATCCTATTGCCCTCGAGGTAAATACAATCCAAACAGGGGAGGGTCGACATCAGATGACTGCGAAGAATGTCCGCCTGGCTACTTTTGCACGGGAAGCGATTCTACGGAGCCCGATGGACAGTGCGAAGCGGGGGCATATTGTACAGGAGGCGCACACAATTCCAGGTTAGCCAAATTGGTTGAACGAGAGCCGACCAGTTGGTGATATGAATGGCGACATTAGCGCGGGAAGGGGATCACTAACTAGATCGCCTCAAAGCTTGAACGACCAGGCATCCCAACAGCCAGTTTCACAGGGGGGTTTGCTTGACATACTCATACACCCACTGGCTTCCTAAGACGTTTAACCGGTCCAAATGTGTCCAGCTGTCTAGCTTAAGAGCTGTCTACGCCCTGTGTCATTTGCCTCAACAGGCAGTACGTAGCGGCAGTAGGTCACTACGCTGCGCCAGGCTCTTCAAGCCAGACAAAGTGCCCAGCTGGAACCTTTGGCCCGCACGAAGGTCTGGCTGAGTGTTACCTCTGTGCCAGTGGGTAGGTTGCGACCAGCTCTCCAGAGCTAGATCCAGCGTGCATGACATAATTTACTTCCAGCAAACTTGAGTGGCTCGATACCAGGCCCCGAAAGCTGTCCTAAAGTATTTCAACACTTACAAATAACGATATGCCATCTGTGGACCTGTTTTTATCGCTTCCACTGGCTCTTCTCTGCAGGTGGATGACTTTATCAGAGGGCGGATCGCAGTGTGAACCGTGTTCTGTCGGGGCGTATTGCCCTGACGAAGGGACCTCTTATCCACAGCTCTGCCCAGTCGGGACATACAGGAGTGGTGGTTATGGCTCCTCAGTTAGCAGCTGCCACCAGTGCCCCCCTCACAAAGCCTGCCCGACAACGGGTGATTCAGGGAAAACCTTGCAAGACTGTGAACAGGGATACTATTGTATTTTCGGTTCCTCTTCCACCAGACCATCAAAAGATGACCCACATTACGATAAGAAGAAGGCGGGGCCCTGCCTCCCAGGCATGTACTGCCCTGGAGCGGAAATCCCGTCGCCGTGCCCGAGAGGAAAGCTAGGCCTTTCTGAAGGGCAGGTTAGCGAGTCGGAGTGCACTGCATGCCCTGCAGGTATGCGTTTGGGCCGCGAGCGATGGACATGCTTAGCAGGCATTGTTTGTATCGCCTTGGCTCTACGCAAAGTTGTGCCCGAGCATGTTCCAAACGTTGACTCCAGTTACACAAAGAGTTGGTAATAGACTCGAAAACGGAGGAAGCTTGTAAGGCTTCGAATGCGCCCGTCCTGCAGGAAAGGTGTGCGAGGATTTAGGGGGCTTGGACAGTTCTCCCTGTCCTGAGGGGTTCTTCTGCCAGCAAGGCACAGCGACAGCTGAACGCACTGCTAACTTATGTCCCACCGGCAAATTCTGTCCAGTGGGTAGTGTCGCTGGAGAAGACTGCTCGCCTGGAACATATGCGCCTTTTCGCGGGATGGCCGAGTGCCTGACATGCCCAGCTGGCTACTTGTGTAAAGATCCAGTTCTCAATTTCGACCAGCAATCATGTCCAAAAGGACACTTTTGCCCAGCGGGTAGGCATTCGGCAGCCTTTGTCTTACGCATGCGCTGCATCCTGTGTCTTGAGAAGTATAAATATCAGAAAATTCATGTGATGCGTTGTTGTTATTAGCGGCAAGTGAGAAGGAACCCTGCCCTCCTGGAAGTATTGGCCTAACAGAGAATCTTTCCAACGAATCCCTTTGCCTCAAGTGTCCGCCTGGCCACTACTGCCCGAATGAAGCGATGTAGGTCAAGGTTTGCTGAGTTCCAGTTTGCGGTCTTAAAGCCATGGAAAGCCAAAATGAGCCTTTCACGCTTTCCGTAGGTGCGGGTGTTTTCAGAGTCGATGAAGCTGGCATTCAGTCATGCCCTGGAGGCAAATTTTCAAACCCTGGATCAGTGGCAGATGCCGATTGTAAATCATGCCCTGTTGGGTACTACTGCCCGGAGTCGTCGAGTACTCCAATTCCTTGCAAAGGAGGAACTTTATGCAACCAGGGAGGCCAGAGGGAGCCCGCTGACAGTTGCCCGCAAGGAATGTACTGCGAGGCGGGAACGGCAGAGTACATTCAGCTAAATGCACAACAATGTCCAGCAGGTTCCTACTGTCCAGGAGGGTCTTCTGCCCCGATTGCTTGTCCCATGGGAACATTCGGGGACACTCCAGGGGCTGGATCAGATTCAGACTGCGCGCAGTGCCCAGAAGGAAGGTGAGTGCTATTCGTCGGGACAAAGTGCTTCTCTTTGCTACAGCTTCGCCCATGTTAGCGTCTGTTATATAGTATAAATTATTATCCAAAAGGTTTTAGCTTCTGCTCAAAGAAGGCAACCGTACAGTCGTCAGCGATTTTGTTCACCCAGAGCGCATCCTTATCTGACACTAGGAAAGGAGCCTGTCTGCTTTCGTGTGAAATCAGCTACTGTGGGGCCCCTGGTCTTGTTGGTCAAGCGGGCGCCTGCAGCGCCGGGTACTACTGCCAAGAGGGTAGCTTTGTTTCCCAGCCAGCTGCCCACAGATGCCCATCTGGATCAATGTGCCCGCAAGGTTCATCTGAACCAAAGGCATGCAACGTTGCTATGAATGAATACCAGCCACGGGAGGGACAGGCGTCATGCGAGAGCTGCCCGGCAGGATTTGCTTGCACATCCACACAAGCCAAACTTTGTCCGCAAGTGAGTTACTGATGCCTGGTCAAATCCGAAGCACGCCCCAAAACGCATTTGGTATGCAGGTGGAAAACACAGGTTGTCTATGATGTTTAAAGAAGTTTGTATCACGATTTACTGTGTCTTTGGAGCGGCGCAGGGACAGTATTGCATTCCAGGCATGGAAGCTCAAAAGTGTAGTGCAGGTACCTTCAATCCTCTGACGGGGTCCCAGAGCGTAACATCGTGTCTCCCCTGCCTTCCTGGGTGGGCGTGCACTGATGATGGCCTGGATGAACCAAACGAAGAATGCGCAGAAGGCCATTACTGCATTTCTGGCGCTTCAACCGAAACGCCGGAGAATGAGTGGACTGAAGGTGGTGGACCTTGCAGAAAGGGCTTTTTTTGCCCGAGAGGTTCTATATCTGCTATGCCCTGCGCAAGTGGAAAGTACTGCTCTGTAGATAAAGCTGCAGCTCCCACGGGCAACTGCTCTGAAGGGCACTACTGTGCACACGGGGCAACAGATCCGCAGTCTTCTTCAACTTTCTATCCCAACGACTGTCCTTCAAGCGTGATACAGGGGATTTGCCCTCCTGGATCCGTTTGCCCAGAAGGATCAGCTTTTCCGTACAAGTGCCCAGCAGGTGAGCGCCCTGCCGCAGTTAGCGGGAGACCAGGTGACTCAACTGCGGTTTTGCGGTTTTGGGTACGCGCGTCGTAGACGTCATAGCCACGCCTAGGCATCGACCTACTTTTGCTCCCGTCAGATAGTATCCGGATTTGAATTCAGGCACTGTACGAAGGGACCGAAAAGGTACATCTTTTGACCAGTGCGAGCCCTGCCCTGAAGGGAGATACTGTGTCCTCCTTGGGGCAACAGAAGTCACGCAAAATGCATGCCTTGATGGCCGGCACTGCAAAGAAGGCTCACGAGTAGGCTGCTCAATTGCAAAGCAACAAGCCGACTGTTGAGTTTCACTTCATGTGAAAAGCCGCACAGTGGTTGTTCAGGCACTGCATCAGCCTATAGCCTTGCGGCCCTACAGGATAATTCATTCCACTATAGCGCTGAACTGTCATTCTCCCGGTGTTCCTGTAACAGACAAAATTTGGTATTCCATGTCCGACGGGCCACTACTGCAGCAGCAAGGAAACGTCACCTCAAGAGTGTCAAGCAGGGTAATTAAAATCAACTCGAGCATCTGCGAGAGGTCTACGTGGGGCGGGCCGCTTTTTAGAAAACCCAGCCAGCTTCATCTTGTCCACTGCACAGCAGTCGTGCCATAATCACACTGAACACAAAAAACGGCAAGCGGCATCTCGTTGTAGATACTCCTCAACGCACATCCGTCAGACTGCGACTCTCCTGTCCAAATCGTTCTCAGGACCTACCAGTCCTCCGTTGGAGCACTGACTTGCGAAACGTGTCCTCCTGGTGCGTAGCGTAGGCCAAGTGCGAAGCTGTCCTTTGGTGCCGTTTACTAATCCGAAATTAGCATGCATCCCTGCTATTTCTGCCTTTCTTTTGTCATCAGGTTCCACGTGCGACGGAGTAGCCACATCTGAGCCTCTAGAATGTCCGGCAGGGCACTTCTGCTCTGAAGGAACAAAGGAACCCTGTCCAGCTGGGCACTACCTTGATACAACCGGCGCTTCAGCAATCACTGCCTGCAAGCCATGGTAATCTGGCCCTACACAAGTAGCAGCATTTGCCACGTACGCATCGCCCATACTCTTATCAGTAGCCCCCTCGAGTTTCTGGCTGCTTGCGGTGGCCTTGTGGATGCACAGTCCCCCAGGTAAAGCGTGCCAAGTCGACGGCGCAGATTCGGACGCTGTTGTTGAGGAATGCCGAGCTGGCTACTACTGCAGGCTGGGGGCGCCCTCACCGACCCCAACAGACGTTTCATGCGTAGATGATGAGAAAACAGCTTGCCTTCCAGGCGCAAAGTGCCCCAAAGGGTATTTCTGCCCTGAGGGATCAAGCACGCCGGTCGGGTGTCCCCTGGGCACGACGGGCAGCACCGAGGGAGCCATCGACAATAATGCCTGCTCACCTTGCCCAGCTAACTTCTTCTGTCCTCCTGGTGGTGGGCAGTGGCCCTGCGACCCTGGGTTTGTTTGTACTGGAGGCGCATCTGTCCCAAGGCCCACAGAGACCACTGGGAAAATGTGCCCAGTGGGTCACTACTGCGACGGTGGCTCCGCGGAAACCACTTGCTCAAAAGGAAGCTATGCCGATGTCCAGGCAAGATTATCTTTACGTGTGACTATTGGATATTCAGAGTCACAGCCCCTTGCTAGCCGCTTCATTGACAAAGCTTGAGAACTGCAGTGAATCACTCGCGAGCTGCTGTTGCCTCTTCACAGGGACTCAGAGAATGCAAAAAATGTCCAGCTGGCTACCTCTGCAGCAGCACAGGTGAGCGATGCTTGCCAGTCTCGATTTCGCATGACCCATCGCATCCCCAGAGCCATCCTATGCATCTTCCCAATAACAACTCCTTCGGAACTTCGGGCTCCTAGCTGCTTCTCGCCAGCACGTATTTGACATCACTCCCTACATATTCTCTGCACAGGCCTGTTTCCTTTCGCAGGGGACGACAGTGGCCTAGATACGAAATGTCCCAAAGGAAATGTTTGCCCCGAAGGGTCAGCCGAAGCCACAAAGTGCCCTGCTGGCACGTTTAATCGTGTTCAAGGCTTACAGGAAGAATCTCAGTGTTCGCTCTGTCCCCCAGGTACGTACGCTTCCATTCTTAAACCTGTCAGACAGCATTCATGAATATAGATATATTTTAGCGAGTAAGTTCGGGCTTGCAACAAGTATGGACGCACGCCTTAGCTAGCAGTCATATATTTTGGCTCGATCCCGAAATTTGCCTGAAACAAAATGCCCAATGATTATATATTATAAGCATTACGCATTTCGTTTCAGGCAAATTTTGTGGAAGTGAAGGCCTAGAGGAGCCCTCAGGTGCGTGCGCGGCTGGGTTCTACTGCCAAGCCGGCGCCACAACACAACAGCATGATGCACAGAACTGGCCAGAGGGCAGTGGAAAATGCCCTCCGGGACACTACTGCCCCGCAGGAATGGTGAGCCGTAAACCCATTCAACCTTCGTATATTCCACAGACTCTCTTGGCACAAGGGCAGTGCTGCCCTGCTGCATCCAATGGCTTAGTCGGACCTACCACTCTCCTAGTTCTGTATAGTCACCGCAAAGAAGGCATGGCCCCTCTTTCTTTGTAGGGAGCACCCGAGAGGTGCCCACCAGGGACATATAATCCGAACTGGGGGGCTGAAGAAGAAGGCGATTGCTTACCTTGCACAGCCGGGGAGTACTGTGATAGGTGGGGTCTCAGTGCCCCCCAAGGACCTTGCAGCCCAGGCAAGATGCAGTATATTTTACAGTGATGGAATACTGCCAAATTTCGCATCGCCGTAGTAATGTAGAAGCAAGATCATGAGTTAAGGTGCAGACGATGCCTTTCAAGCAGTCTCTGAACTGCACTACCCCAACCCCCCGACTGAACAGTTTCTTCGCCTCACCGTCTTCATACCATTGGTGTTGTCGTGGTCCGATTGCACTTGATCGGACTGCAGGTTTCTACTGCAAAGAAGGTTCCTCTACGCCCACCCCAATTCAGGAAGCGGCGGGAGACCTCTGCCCCGAAGGCCATTACTGTCCAGAAGGTAGATCGCTTGATTGACGACTCAAAAATGCTGTAGTCATGCATGTGCACAGTGTGCCGCTTACCGCTCTATTTCTGGCAACCTAGCAAGGTGAAGTATGTCGGCGCAGTTGTCAAACAGAGGCTTAATGCGACGCCATGCTCATGTTGCGTTGCGCGTGGAAAAGGTTCTCCGGAGCCCAAGCCGTGTCCCTTCAGCACCTTTAGCGTTCAGCAAGGTGAGCTCATATCCCTCAATGCTTGACCCCTCTGCCCACCGCATGAACGAACGCAGACCGCCTGTTCATTCACATGCGGACTTAATGGCTCATTTTAGGCTCCAGCGAATGCTCACCGTGCCCAGCTGGATACACGTGCGAAGTTGGAGCCGTGCAACCTCAAGCCTGTCCCTCCACACACTACTGTGAGCTCGGGCATGCGCCCAAACCTTGTCCAGGGGGAACCAAATCAACCGCCACAGGCCTTTCCGAAGAAGGCCAGGTAAGCATATCCTTCAGCCCCAGGTTTACGGCTTTCCCTGAACTTGCGCCTCATCTAGCTACAGGCGTTCCTCTGCGACCCTCTTAGAAGTATGTCGAGCCGAACGAGATGTATACGGACAGTTGTTAGGACATGCGGAGATGCGCTGCATGCATGTACTGTTGCAGTGCATTGACTGCGGATCGGGGCAAGCTTGTGATGGGACTCGGGCGGTGGGCCTGTGTGCCGAGGGATATTTGTGCCTCGCGGGCGTTGGGCCTCAGCAGTCACCTCAGCTCTGGGAAAATCTGTACTCTGCAGCAGCCGTACAAATTGGCGGGCCGTGCCCTATAGGGCACTTTTGCCCAGAGGGAGCAACTGTTCCGACTGCTTGCCAAAGAGGCACTTCCACAGTAAACGAAGGCGGCAAGACCGCACAGGACTGCGTGCCTTGCAAAGCAGGATGGTACTGCAGCTTAAATTCATCAGTAAGTCTCCTGCCGAAGGCAAAAGAATGTTTCAAGTTGCTGTTTCATGACTGCTACATCTAGTGCTTCACTGTCTTCCCGCTAAGCACCGGCCGCAC